TTTTACTCAAGTCTTTATCACTTTATTAAAATTAAGCAAAACAAAACAACAAATGTTTACTTTCACAAGCCATCTCGTATAGGCTTGTAGCCTAAGCTGTCTCTTACTCAATTAGGTAACAAAAAATGTCGGGAAACGACACCTCTGGCCATTCCGTTGGGTCTTTTGTCCAGTCACAGATACCGTACAGACAGTCCGACCCAATACGGCTAAGTTTTTATGCGTATGTTGCTCTGTCGAGCAGCAGAAATAATTTTATGTAGGCCATTCTGAGTCAACACCATGCTTTTCCAATGAGGGGGATAAGGACTGTTTTCCCCCACGCCGACTCCGCCCTCACAGCTACTAGACACTGATCAAGTCTATATACAAACAAAATAAACACTTTATGAACCATTAAAACTAACAGCTCTACTTTCAGCAAAGATCTGAAATTCTCAATCGGGCTGCTCTTCACAGAACCTCACAGTAAGTTTCAAAATTAGCAGTGCAAATGGGAAGTGCTGTATGAGACACCAAATGTGTTAAAAGAATCTTGTAGGATCTCGCTGACTATGTAATGCGAAGATTGTGTGAACTTACAAGCAAGACAATAGAGACAAAACTGTAGAAGGATGTGAGAGTTTCTCTTCATTTCCTCTAACATATGGAACTGCACAAATAACAAAACACTGTCTGCTACTGTATTTGCAAAAGAAACAACACTGCAGGAAGTGAAGGTCTGGTTATTTCGAGGTGAAAAAAATGCAGCGTTTGGTGGTCACGTCACATGTCACACTGCACCGAGACCTCGAGAAAACCTGGGCTACATTCCAATTTGTATACAATCCATACTGTATACTGATATAGAGGCAAGCATGTCCCAAAGAATAGTGTGTTAGAAAATTAGGATTCTAAAGATTACTAGATAAAATTTTCAGTGGGTGTTTGGCCTAAAATTACCCATTAACCCCTTGCACTATGAGAGGAAGATTTTGTGACTTCTTTAGGCATAGACAATGGCTAGGAATGAAAGACCAAAGCTATGACAGCAGATATTTAATGCACAAACCTACAAATTAAGTAATTAAGATCATGCTAATTGCTAATGGCACCATGCAAGTATAACCAGTACACAACAAAGGCACAATGTAATGTGGTAAAGATTTTTTGTTTAGCATAAATTGAGCAATTTCAGGTTTCTTTCTTTCTTTTTCAAAGTCAAGAAAACATTGAGAACTGATGCAAAAAAAAAAACCCTGCAAAAATGCAATTCTCATGCAGCCACTGAGAATGATAGGAAATGTAGTTGTGAACAATATACATTTTACCATCAACAATTAAAGCATAATTATGATAATAACTAATAACCCCACTGGTACTGGTACATATTTTATAGACATTATACATACTTTTACTGTGTAGCAGAGGCATACGATTGGCGATGCAGCCTGGTTCAAGGCTCATTACCTACAGCTAGTGGTTCTGTCATGTCCCTCCTCTTACCCACCTGTCGTGAGTCTAGACCTGGGGTCGCTGCAGAATGACTGGGGCAATTTGAGGGCAGGTGGATTTGTATTTGAACCCTTTTTCTAATATCATGAGAGAATGAAGTTTATGAAATATGAAGTGTATAAACAGTACAGACAATGCTAATAATGATATGTCCAAACTGTAAATGACTCCATGTGATAAACCATATCAAATTCCCAATTAAGCCCAGGTGTAGAAGTCAACAGTTCCCCTCCCATCAGCAGCTGCAGTCACAGAAGATGGGGGATTGTGGTCGTCCTGAATCAGCCAGGGCTAAAATGACATTTAACTGATGTTCAGATGCGAGGTAGCTGCTGGAACGTGTAGATAAGACCATTGCTGCTGGCATTTCAATTACACTTTTACTGCCCTACACATCTGTTACCAGCCTACTTTCAGTCTTTTTTTTCCCCCACAGGCAAATACATCCTCATTCCACTACTCATTCCACTACCACTACATCACGCCACACTTTCTTCTTTTTTTCCACCACAAAATTCAGATTGTCTGCTTTGGCAGGTGGTTTCTGGGTCTAGACTGGAATGTATTGCTGGGTTTGTCTGACTTGAAGGTGGGACACAGTGGGGTCAGTTCTCTCTCCAGCCCAGTGGTTCTCAACTGGTGGGTCATGAGCCAAGAATGGGTCACAGATCTGTTCCGGGTCATATGACAGCAGGGGAAAAATCAATGCTAAAAGCAGCTAACAAAATAAATAGGCATCTCAAGGTTTAATGGGGAGTAGAAAACAAGGGAGAAAGGACTGGGAAATGTTGCAAGCCAGATTCAAACACTTTATCTTTCATCATTTTATCTATCAAATCAACCCAAAACAACTATCAAATAAGTAAATACATAGACATGAAAAATAGTCAAAAATATTGTCCTGTAAATTATCTTAAAAGTCCTGTTATGAAAAATAGTCCACCGCAACATAAAAAAAAACAACTGACCTAGCAACAATTTTCCAATAATATTACAATATTATAAATAAAACTATATTACTATTGTAATAAAACTTTCTTTTGTTCCTCTAAGCTGTTTTTGTTTTCTTGCTTTATCTGGACACCTGAACTTCTAGACATTTAGAAAAGGTATAATGCTCACCACACACACACACACACACATAAAATATATATATATATGTATATTGCTGTGAAGTTTAAAGGTGATTCCTTTAGTTGACATTGTCAGAATTGATCTGTATCATTCGTACCTCTTCACCACCTATATTCATAGTACTATGTGAAGCTTCTCTCTCTCTGTCATCATTTCCTACAGTGTCTTCATCACAGTCAACAGGGGAGTTACTCAGAAAAGGGGAGGGGTGTGGGTTAAATTGGACACACATCTCATCTCAGGCTCATTAAGAGCTTTATGTAAGAAAGAAAGAGAGAAAATGCACACATACATACTGTACAGTCACTGGTGGACTCCCTTGTGCTAGTTAAGCCCATGTATCTACACTGAGGAGTAATTTGGAGTTGGTTCCCAAAGCAGCACAGCTCAGTGCAGAGCTGGTCATGGAGGAACTGTGAGAAAGGTACATTTAATTACTGATAGAGAGACAGGAACACATTATTATCCAGCCTGCCTGAGATGTCATTTCCATCAGGCATGTCAAGTTCTTTCAGTGCTCTTTACACTGACACATATTCACACTCACCTGGTGTCTCGTGTCATGGAGCCTGACTTTTGACTTAAAGGGGTCATATGATGCTGCTAAAAATAACATTATTTGGTGTATTTGGTGTAAT